CCAAAGAAAGAAGCAACCTAGAACTAAGGAGAAACTTCCTGACAGTTAGAACAATTAACCAGTGGAACAACCTGCTTCCAGAAGCGGTGAATGCACCAACACTGGACGTTTTTAAGAAGAAACTGGACAGCCATTTGTCTGAAATGGTATAGGGTTTCCTGCCTGAGCAGGGGGTTGGACTAGATGACCTCCAAGGTCCCTTCCAACTTTATCATTATTATTGTTATTATTATTATCGTCAAAGTGCTTTTGTATTTATATACTGTTACTGTTACAGTAAGTTGTTCCTATATGGAGGAACATCTGTGTTGGAAAATAATTTTGTGAAAAGAGGCCTTCAGTTTTGTTTTTCTACTTGCAGTGTGCAACATCTGAAGATGATTGTGCAGATCTAAAAGCAGAAGCATCCAGCACCTTGACTGGAGTGGATATGGATTTGGACAGCTACCAGATAGCTCTGGAGGAAGTTCTCACTTGGCTGCTCTCTGCAGAAGATGCCCTCCAAGAGCAGGAAGTCATATCTGATAATGTTGAGGAAGTCAAGGAACAATTTACTACACATGAAGTAGGTGGCTGGGGATGATGGGGAATTAGATGTGATTTTTTTTATTAAGTCAGCAATTAAGTCCCCTTAATATTTTATTTTGTAATGTTTACAAGGGTATACAAGTATAGAGATGGGAAAAAAACAAGTCTTGGCCACTTAACTATTAAGAAATTTGTCACCACATAAGCTTCTGTGGATTTTACCACAATAGAATAGATGACAGGAACTGAAAGCCATGAAAACTTTTAAGATAATATATTTCTTAATCTTTAAGGTGCCTCAAGTCCTGCTTTTCATTCGTGTGGGAGATGGAGCTGACTGAAATAAGCTCCGTGTTACTGTTATTGCTGTTATTATTATGAAAAAAGTGGTTTCCTTTAGAAATTTATCCTTATTCATGTTAAAATTCATGCAGTTTTAGTCAAGATACTTTAAATTATAATATAACTGACAGTCTGTTATCTTGATTTGTATTTGCGTATTTTGCTGTTGTAGTTTTAAGATAAAAAACTTTGAAATGGGGAACTATTTGTGTATACCTATAAATCTATTTGCTGCTTTAATATTCACAAGAAACTGAGATGCTTGTTCTAGTATTTTAATCAAAAAGCAGTATCATTAAAGGGCACATTATTATGGTGTATTTATTTAAAGCTGAGCGTTTGTTTTTAGCCTTGGTATGATATATAATACAGTTGTTACCAGTGCTTTTTTTCTACAAAAAAAAGGTGCCGGAACTCATACACATCATACAACCCGCCTTGCCTACCCTACAAGGTTCCATCCAAAAAAGGGGCCGGAACTCCGTTTTGGGCGTTCTATGAGAAAAAAAAGCCCTGGTTGTTACTGTGAACTGACAATCTTTTTCTAAGTCTTCCATTTATTTCTTTGGAAACTTCAGTTCTCATTCATTAATTCTTAAAAATGGCCGGTGTCTGCAGAATGCTTACTATAAGAGGTTGGCTAATATAGTTTCCACTTGATGGTCTTTCTATTCCATGGATGATGAATTAGATTGTAATTAAGGTCTCAGAAACTTTTCCCTTCACCCTTCCACAAAATGCTACAAAGAAACTTGTAGATCTTTTGGATTAATTTTTTCTTTGTGTAGTTGCTCATCTTAAATTGCATCCAACCCTCTGCTTAGAGTTGACTGTAGTTTCCTAACAACAAAGGATTCAAGAAGGTATCTAGAGTTACTTCATGTAATGATGCTACTTACTTTTTTACCTTTTAATACCTGCTGGACATAAGAATATGACAGACCAGTACTTGCTTGCTTTTTATCAAGTAGGAGTCATACATTTGATTGAGGAATGAAAATTATTTATTTGTTTACCCACCATGGCCTTAATCTGAATCAGAGTTGTCCTCACTTCTGAAATGAAAGGGAACTAATTGAAATTAGGACCATCATGGAGCCAAATGGTTAAAGCTACCTCTGTCCATGCTATAATACCAATCTGAATGAAATCATTCTCTGCTGGATGCTAAGTTACTGTGGGCCATGGATCTTTGAGAATTGCTGCTTATTGTATAATGTTGCAAATTACATTTATGCTTGCAATTATCTGGCAGTCAGTGCATTAGTTGAAGCAATGTTTGCTTTAGGTCACAGTCTAAACTTTTTATAGGAATTTATGATGGAGCTGACAGCGCATCAGAGCAGCGTGGGTAGTGTGCTTCAGGCTGGTAATCAACTGATAGCCCAGGGCAATATTTCAGTAGAAGAAGAAAATGAAATCCAGGAACAAATGAACTTGTTGAATTCTAGATGGGAGAGTCTCAGAGTGGACAGTATGGACCGCCAATCCTAGTAAGTGGCATGATTCACACATGGTTTATATACATAGTTTATTTTTCCAGTTGCAATGTAATATATTAAGCTGTGTTCTCAGTGTTTAAGGCTAAACATTTTTTTAAATATTTTTGAAGAGCCATCTAAACTATCTTTGCAAAAGGAAAGTAAATAATGAGTTGGATCTGTTTGAAAATGGGGTGTTTCAATTTGTCTGTCTGTCTTTCTGTCTTTCCACATGCACACATGAGTACATACATACATACATACATACATACATACATACATACATACATAACATTTGTGGGGTCTTAAAAGCTTATTTTGATTCCTAAATTGAATATTTTGCTAACATTAAAAGCAGAACCAGATGCTCATGAAAATAAACAAAGATCTATCGTATCAGTCAATCATCCCTGCCAATAATTCTGTTGACTAAATCTCACAGTAAACCTCAATCATGAATCTGTTAAGCTGAAGTCTGATGTCCAAGGCAATTTGGCTAAAACATTATTTAGCAATAATTATATGTTGATAGCACAGATCTGTAGCATACAAAGCCTTTCCCCCCCAATGATTGAATTTCTGGTCTAGATTTAACATTTTCCATAAATTAGCAAATATATCTCAAGCTGCATGTCGGATAAAGATTTGAGGTAACAAAAAGCAGTACTGTATAACACATAAGATGGTTTAAGCATATGAGCCAAGCCACATGATCATGCTATAGAGGAGAGAACAAAGCAAAAAGCATGTGAGCTAAACTAAGCCACAACATCATGATATGGGGAATGGAAGAGAGCATAAAAAAGCTTAAGTTTTATAGATTACAATTAGATCATTTTGTCTGGAAGGGGAATTCATTTCCATTTCTGATTAAAAATTCAAAACTATCCTAAGAGATTTTTTTTGAAAGGAACTTTTTTTTAATTAGGATAGTTCCTAATGCCAGAGGAAAGATTGCAATTCAACACAACTTAATAAATCCTAATTTTAAGCAGTTATTTACATAATTAGTTGATTAGTTGATAATTTCATTTATTAACCATATAGCATCATTTCAAATTGGGAAAGTGAACATTATATTTGAAAAACAGGAGTTTCCTCTTCCCCTCTGCACCAGGGATCCCTCAACAACCTTGTAGAATAGGTTTGGGAGAGCTTCTATTCTCCAGATAGAATTTGCTTTTATCCATAGATATATAATATGTTAACCATATTTTTTTTGTTAATTATATATTTGTACCATCTTACTTTACAGCAGGGGTCCTCAACCTTGGCAACTTTAAGACTTGTGGACATCAACTCCCAGAATTCCTCAGCCAGCAAAGGTGGCTGAGGAATTCTGGGAGTTGAAGTCCACAAGTCTTAAAGTCGCCAAGGTTGAGCACCCTTGCTTTACAGCGAGTCAGATTTACTGAGATCTCAGTCTCATTGATTGTGTTTGTGATATAACACAGACAAAAGGCTTATTCAGCACGCTTACTAATTTATTCCACAGAAAGCTAGGATTACCGAGTTGCCTGTTTATGTTATGATTACACTTAAGCAGAACATGAGAAATCAGGGCACTTTGGATGAAATTACTCCTTTTTTTTTTGACTTGGGCAGCCTCCATGATGCACTGATGGAGCTACAGAAGAATCAGTTGCAGCAACTGTCTGACTGGTTGACTCTTACAGAAGAACGCATTCGAAAGATGGAATCTCTGCACTTAGTTGAAGATTTGCAGACCTTTCAACATCAGATGGATGAACATAAAGTATTTTTATCCCTTTCTATAATAAAAACAACCTGCTAATACTTTAATTTCTTGGTTGTAACTAAATGAGAATTGTTATATTTTAAAATAAGCCCTGGATTCCCTTATGCTATGATACCATGCTGTGGTTAATGGGATTCAGCAGCATTACTTGTTTGGAATCTTACGTTGTTTCTTGATTTCCTTGAAAATTAACGGCACAATGGATATAGACATCAAATTACTTGTATACAATAGGCAAAATAATTATACTGTATATTGTAACACTGGAATCAATTCTTTCAGGAGCTCCAAAAAGATATTGAAGCAGAACAGGCTAAAGTCAATTCGTTGACTCACATGGTGGTCATTGTTGATGAAAATAGTGGTGAAAGTGCTACAGCTCTGTTGGAGAATCAATTGCAAGTGAGTGGATGTTATTGTTATTTTTTATTATTTTGTGGTATCCCATACTGATCATTCTGAATGGAGTCATGAAGGTGAATGCTTTCAAAAAACGTTTGATGTATTTATTGGTTAGATTTATATCCTGCCTTTCTAGGAGCTGAGAGTGGCTTACTTGGAGAGCATCTTCATTTTTATTGTTACAATAGCAACCTGCTTGAATTGAGAGCGACTAGCCTGAGGACAGCCAGTGAATGTTCATGATTGGGGATAGATTTGAATCTGGATCTCTCTGGATCAACATTTACTTGTCATCTTAGTGCAACTCGCAATGTCACGTGAAGTGTTGCAATGTATCACAACTTTTTTTCCATTGCCAGCAATGGGGTGGGTGCGGTTTTGGCATGACGCATCCGGTCCATGGGCCGGCAGTTTGATACCCCTGTCTTAGTGTCACAAAACCTAATAAGTAGTAAAAATAATGTTGTAGCAGTTATGTAGTCAATTAATTATGGTGATGGTTTCTACTCTCCCAGTTGTTTCTACCTGGTCTAGCAGGAGGGGCATGCTCCAGGTGATGTTGGCTAAGGAGTGTTGGTTGGTGGGGCCTTTTCTGCCAGCCAAAAGGAAGAGGGCCTTTTCTGTCAGTTACTTGCCTGTGGAACACCATGCCACCTGAGGATAAGTTAGCCCTGATCATGTGGTCTTTCATAAGGCCCTTAAAAAGTGGGGCCCTGGAAGTATGAGAGAGCCCATTCTTTGGCTTTGTCAAAGATTATTTTTTGATACCCAGCCATGTGTTTTATTTTATTTGTATTTTATTGTTTTTCTACCTATTTTATTGTAAGCTGCACAGAGTCATATGTGAGATAGGTAGCTATATAAAATAAATATTAATTCTCAAAAAAGTGTAGGATTTCTTATGCAGATATGGATAAGATGGATTTAACCATGTGTACCTGGTTAAATAGAACTTGTATTTTCATAATATCAAAAACAGTCCACAGCAGTAAAAAACTTGTGTGTTTTAAAAAAAAAGATGAATTCAAATTTTGTGACAAATTTTCCATCAGATCTCAATTCTGATACATAACAATACATCTATGAGTTGCACAGCATGAACTATTCAGGATTTTTTAAAAATTCTAGTTATCCAAGATGTTTAGATGTTCGTTTAAATATAGGCTGGATATTTACTTGTGAAAATTTAAAAAAAAATATGAATGAATGTATATACGTATATTGGGTGGTGTTTAGAATGGCAGTCAAATTAAACATTGTTTATCTTGAAAGTGAATGATGTGATGCATTAAACGTGGTTGCAAAGTTTCCAGAAGTTGGTCAACATTGAACCAAAAAAAATAAAAAAATTACTATAGCACTGGGAAGATATCCAGATTAGAATGGGAAAAGATGATTGGCACATTCAGGAACACTTGAGTAGCAGCTGTCAGCAATTATTTCAGGAAATTACATATTTTTGCAGGATTGTATATGCAGTGTGATCTGAGACAAAGTAAGTTGGTTCAGGGAGATGCTGACAGGTGTGTGCTGAATATCCTTCAGAAACCCTTCAAAGTTGCACAGCTCAATTTTCCTATATTTAAATCCTGTTGAGATTAAATAAATGCCGATGAATCTAGATTCTATCCAGTAGCTTAGACTGATTATTAGAATCTTATGAACCTAGCAGTCCACTTAAATGGCAGTTTTATTTCTTAGATTTGATCTTAATTGAGAGGCCATTCCCTAGTTGGTATTTTTGGATAAAAAAATAATACAAAATGCTAAATAGTTACGATTCTATCAATATGGATTTTCTGTCTGCTTTCAGAGGAAAATATATAACATTAGACTTTTTTTTGGTGTTATTTTTAGAGACTTGGTGAGCGTTGGACTGCAGTTTGCCGCTGGACTGAGGAACAATGGCTCAAATTGCAAGAGATTAATACCTTGTGGGAAGAATTGTTGGAAGAACAGGTTAGTGATGGTAATTCCTTAAAATTCCTGCTCCTGTCGTTGAGCAAATCCCGGGTGGCTTGCACCTTCCCTTCTGGCAGGAAAATGATTGCTGCTGGGAAGTGAGGAAGTGAGTGATTATACAAGTGGCCAGGAAGCTGTAAGCGAATGTTAAGAAAATAACAGAGTTGAAAGGACCTTGGAGGTCTTCTAGTCCAAAGGTCCCCAACCTTTTGGGCACCAGGGACTGGTGTCATGGAGAAAGGTTTTTCCGTGGATCGGAGAGTGCGTGGTTTTGTGTGCTGCCTGCATCCCACGGATGGGGCTTTGCTTGTTTGTGTGGACCGGTTGCTGGCATGCCGTGGCCTGGTACTGGTCCACGGACTGGGGGTTGGGGACCCCTGTTCTAGTCCAACCCCCTGTTCAAGCAAGGGACCCTATACATTTCAGACAAATGGTTGTCCAATTGTTGAAAATGGGGATCACATGACTGCAGCAGTGTGGCGGTGGCACTGAAGCCGAAGCAGCCTGGCCGTGCTGAAGCACTCAACAGTTTCCCCAAATTTCATTCCAGGGTCCAGGCATTCTATAGGTTAGCCCGTTTGAGGTATCTGGATTGAAAAATTTTGCCCTTTGATGCATTGTTTTGCCCAGTTAAAGGTTATAGACCTGAGAATTTTAGTATTATATAGATACTCTACAAAAATCTGAAAAGGGAATTGATTTCCTTTCACAATTTTAATTCTATTTTCATTTATTTCCTGAAGCCACACCATTATTCAGGTGTAAAATTAAATTGTAGTTTTCATCTGAACCAGCCAAAAGGCATCTTTTAGATCAAGGTGATAGGAAGCCTATTTTTGTTTTCTACAAACCTTAATTGTTTTTGAGGTCCTAGTTCATTTTTTACATTTTTTAAAAAAAAGAATGGCATTGTTAAGACTCATTAGAACAAATGGGGGTTAAACAGTTCTGCCTGTTTTTTAAAAAACATTTGTATATAACAATAACAATAATAGACTTGGAAGGGACCTTTGAGGTCTTCTAGTCCAACCCCTTGCTCAGGCAGGAAACCCTATACCATTTCAGACAAATAGTTGTCCAGTCTCTTCTTAAAAACCTCCAGTGTTGGAGCATTCACAACTTCTGGAGGCAGGTTGTTCCACTAATTAATTCTTCTAGCTGTCAGGAAATGTAAGAATGTTTTAATAAATGATGTATTTTCCCATCAAAATGTTTTCAAAACCTGGCCATTTTATTATTAGTGGCTTTATTCATTTATTTATTTATTAGATTTCTATCCTACCTTTCCTCCAGGAGCTGTACATATCTATCCTTTTCCGGTTTTCTCCCATTTTAACTATTACCTTATGTAGTCCTTGGAGTGTGACTGGCCCAAAGTCACTAAGTGAACTTCCATTGCTGAAAGTGGGTTTAATTTAGGTTTCCTTGTTTCTAGTCCAAACACGAGAACTGAATATTCATCATGGGAGATGTTTGAGCCCGACTTGATAAAAATGTAGGGGTTTTTTTTCCAAAAAATTGCATCAAATAATGGTATTTATGATTGAATAAAATTTATAGCATCTAAAAGTTTTGCTTGTTTTATTTACTATCAAAACAAAAAAGTAGCAGCTTAGCTATACATTGTGTACAAATCATGTCTAGTACTAAAAGATGACCTCAGAAGAACTCAATTAAACAGGAAGTACCTAGACATTATCCTTGATAGTAGATGTAAGTAATGCTACTACAATGTAAGATATCCTTTCCCTCCTGCTATAAATAATGTGAGAATCAAACAGAACTAATTGAATTAACTTAAAAATAACTATACGGTTAATATCACAGTTAATAATTTTTAAAAACAATGTTTAGGAAGACTGAGCCAACCAGCACCAGGATAAAAAGCAGATCCTTGCCATAAATTGTTTCAAAAAAGCAGTGTATTATTTTCTGATGTATGAGGAAAGAAAATATTTGCTTATATAGGAGCGAGAATGAAAGGTGTGGTTTTGAGAGTCACAATCAATCTGCTTCTTACCTCTGATTACTCCGTTTTGTTTCTATTTTCATAGTCTTTCCTGTTCTACTTTTCCTCCCATGTACGTTTATGTTCTGCTTGTCTCCCAAGCGGCTAAGGGAAAATTATGATTTACTCAATCTCATCCATGAAAATTAAGATTTACCAAAGTTTAATGCTATTATTATCTCATGTATATCTAGCAATTGAGTTGTCAGACATTCCTACTCAATAGTGGCTGCTGCATGTAGCATGACACCTACTATGTTGAAAATGGAAAACAACCTATAACTTTATGTGATTGTAACTTAAAAGGCAGCCAGATTATTGTTATGCTTTTGGAGTGTTGTTGTTAAATGTATGATGCAGTTGGTGGTGCTGTATAAAATATAGGGGAATTGAGTAAATATATTTGTGGATGTACTTTTTTTCATCCAGAGCATGTTGAAAACCTGGTTGGTTGAAAAAGAGGAAGCTTTAAGCAAAATACAAACATGCAACTTCAAAGATCAAACAGAGCTTGGTGCAAATGTTCGAAAACTGGCAGTAAGTATTACTTGCTTTGTACTCTATATCTAATAAATTAATAGACAAACAGATAAGCCTTATTTATTTACCAAATATACCATACATACATATACACATAGAAAATTAAGGCATAAGTTGTGCCTATTGCAGGCATATAGATCATAGATCAACTTTCCCATGCTCTGAAGCAATTTTAGTTTTCACTTAAGGAATGCCTCTTTGTTTTAAATGGCAAGGTCTCTTCTTATGTGGGAAATTCTACTAATATTTTCAAGGTTCCTGCAATGCAGTAAAACCTCTGACTGGCAATAACAGCCTAGAACTCATTATTTCTCTAACCACAGACACTAACATTGCAGCTCATCTTTCCCAACCTGCAGGTAATCCTCACTTATTGACTGCCTTGTTCAGCAACCATTCAAACTTACAGTGATACTGAAAAAAAAAAGAGACTTACAACTGGTCTTCAAATGTATGGCTATTTCATGTGGTTATGATTTGGGGGCATTTACTACAGTGGCAGAGTCCTGCTGTCACAAGATCATCATTTGCAACCTTCACAGCCTGCTTCCGACAAGTAAAGTCATTGGGGAAACCGGCAGGACGTCACAAGTCATGGTCATGTGACGTCATACTTAGCAATTGTGGGTGATTTGCCTAATGATCACAACCAGAACTGACATTGAAATTTGATCATGGTCCCATGATGTTTCACTTTTTTCAATTGCATTGCTTAGCAATGGAGTCGCCAGTCCCCATTGCAGTCGAAAAGTGAGGATTACCTGTATTGGACTTCAGTTTCCATATTTTCAGCATGTTGATGGTGAATTAGGTGGTACAGCCCATTGGAAAACAGGCTGTTCTAGCAAATATTCAAAATAAATAGTCTCTAATGGAATGGTTATGAATGTTCTAGAAACTCATCTTTCTCGGTCCATAATTCCTATTCTGTTGGAATTTACAACTGTACAAATGTTATAAATTTATTTCCGTATATTCTAAGAAAGTTAACTGTTCCTGTGGGAAATCTGAGCAAAAGGCATTTCTCTAAAATGACATGGCTGTTGTTGTTTCACTGTCAGAGTCTGAAAGAAGACATGGGAAAGAAGCACCAGATGTTAGAGCAGCTGAATGAGATGACCCAGGATTTGGCACAGCTCCTAAACAACAAGAAGGCATTAAAAAAAATTGACAGTAATCTTGAAGAACTAGCACAGAGATGGGACAACTTAGTTCAGAAACTTGAAGATTACTCTAATCAGGTACCATCCAAACACCACCTTCTCTTTGTGTTTCGAATGGGCTTCATTTGGATATGAATGTTTTGTTTCCATTAATTGCATTTGTGATTTAAACAATTTAAAGTTGTCATTCATTCTTTGGATTTTTTTTCAACTTCATTTGATCAGGTTTGATCCCTGTCTCCATTGTTCCTTTAGGTTACTGAGGCGGTTGTAAAAGTTGGAATGCCCCAGATTTCTCAGAATATTCTCACTGAAACAATCCTGGTCAAAAAACAAAAAACAGCGCAGGACGTCCAAATGGAAGAGTCTCCTCCACCTCTACCAAGGAGGCGGCAAACTGGCCTAGATACTGAAATGAGAAAAAAGTAAGATGACTTCTCTATTTAGGAACATCATTCCTTTCTCACTAAAGATAGGATAACATTATTAACAAAAAGTATTTTCTGTCCTTACTATCCCATTACTTTCTCTTATAGGTTGTTCCATTTCTTTCTTCATTGAGTGGGATACACTTCTTTTTGTTTAGTGTGTTATATGAAGCCACTCTTTGTGGGTGTGTTAACTAGGCTTGTGGTTTAGTGTGGTGAGTTAACTGAGTTAATTCAACTAATTGGTGTTAAGAAAACCAAGACTTAGCTCAGGTTATTTTCCAGATGCATGTGATGGTTACAGATGAAAGCAATTAGTTGCTTTAGAATTAACAGTGGGGAGGGAGGACTGGACAAGCTGTTTTAAGCCTTTAATGGATGTTGTTTATCTCATTGCTTCTCTGGGTGCGAGTCTCCCCAGTTTCAAACTACAGCCACCTTCTTTGGTCATGGGGATGAAGGCTGGTACAATAATTGTAAGAATCTCTTTGCTGCCATTTTTTCAGGAAATAAACTTGCAATAACTTCTGCACTTGCATTTTCTTGGCTGTTCGAATATGGTTTGAATATGTGGTTTCCTCCCATTATAATGTTTGGAAATTATGGAAATCTCAGGCATGTATATTTGAAGGAGGCAGCAAGTTGAGGAGACTACTTTTAGGGTGAGGAGTAGAAGAATGGAGATTATAGTGAGACTCTTAACTATTTTCTTCAAGGCAAAATGTTTTCCCCTCCCAGACTTCACTAAGGTTTCTTGAAGCTTCTGAGATAGGTTACTATGGAACATTGTGTATTAGTGAGCCAGCCGGTGTCCTTCAATAAATGGAAGAATACATTTTAGACAAAAGATAATGGTTTAACTGGAAGGTTGCGGAGGGGAAAGATGATTAAAATGTTTTAACATCTTTGAGTTTCGAATGGAAGGAGAAATTACTGCAAACACTGTTCTGCTTCTTACACTAGGTTTGATGTTGAAATTGTGGAGTTGTTGAATGGGATTTTAAAATCAAAAGCTGCCATTGAGGCCATGGAGATCAAAGAGTACAAGAAGATGAGAGAGACTTCAGGCATGAAAGAAAAACTGAAGGTAAAGAGAAAAATGGGAAGGCATTTTCAGTGAATACATTGTGTTGCTAACAGCTGGAAATAGACTCTGATAGGAAAGTTTAAATTGAGTTCTATTTATAAATATCTTTTTGGCTAACATAATTATTCTCTACTGGCTACAAGTAATGCCCTTTTACTAATGACAGGCAATGCTCAGAGGTTTAATAGGCATTTCTTCTTTCCGGTTTCCTCCCTTGTATTAAATTCCCTTTTCACTTTGGAGAAGGAAGAACATTTTTAGAGAAAATCTTATTCTTAAATATGGACCTTGCATAAATTCTCTCAATAAAACAGAGAATGAAGTGAAATCATGATTTCGGCTCATAGAGACATCTAATAACCCTCCGGTCCACCCTGTGGAGAAAAGACATAAAAAATGGAAATGTTGACAATAACTGTTTTAAGCCAATTTTAAATTGCTTAATTAAGAATATCACCGCAGAGATACCTGTAAATACAGGCTATGGGAAATATTGTCAGATAGCCTAGAGTTGTTTATGACCCATAATTAGGAGGGGATGGGGGGGGGCAGCGGCTTTGTCTTTTGTTTTAATCCTAAATGCAAATTGTGAAACATCACTTGGACCATTTTCTAAGAAATCTTTAATTTTGTTTATAGTAGTTACACTTTGTGAAAAATTGCAATCTGGAATGTTGCCATTAAAAGAACCAAGTTGCTCTGCAATAATTATATATACAGGTGGTCTTCGAGTTACAACAGTTCATTTAGTTACCATGGCATTGAAAAAAGTGACTTGTGACTATTTTTCACACTTACAACCATTGCAGCACTCTCCCTGGTCACGTGATCAAAATTCAGATGCTTGGCAACTGCCTCACATTTATGACGGTTGCACTGTCCCAAGGGTCATGTGATCCCCTTTTGCGACCTTCTGAGAAACAAAGTCAATGCGGAAGCCAGATTCACTTAACAATTGTGTTACTAAATTAACAAAAGCAGTGATTCACTGAACAAATGTGGCAAGAAAGGTTGTAAAATGGGGCAAAACTCACTTAACAAATTTCTCACTTAGCAGCATAAATTCTGGGCTCAATTGTGGTCGTAAGCCGAGGACTACCTGTGTTTGGAGGATACTTCCAGAGCATTTTACACTTGTTAAGTTTAATGGATTCTTTTCCATGAGCCAAAATAACCTGCTTACAAGGATCCTGACACATTATTTTACAGAGACTCATTTAACTTTTCTGTCACCCTGATTTGATTTGTATGTCACAGTATCGTTAGAGAGATGGAAAAATCAATGACTAATCTGGAGACACAATGTTTACTTTAAGTAAAGATTATTTAATAAGTGCTAATTGGCTGACAGTGGAGTTTCAGACTGAGATAAGATGTTCCAAAAGATGTAATATCTGGGGAAGTTACAGCGTTTGAAGACTTAATTTTTGGCTTGTGATGTATGATGATTTCATGAAAATATGACCTAAGTGGAAAGCATTTTGATATTCAGTAAATGCATCCTTGTCTAATTATTTAGTGCTGTAATTCTACTGAATAGTTAGAATTGCTAGTTACTAATTGCAGAGGTGGAAAAAGGCTCGACTTTGTTCAGTGGAATTTTTAAATGTTAGGTTTTCACTTTACGTTTTATGGCTTTGATTGACAGGCCATGAAAAAAAAAAGAGTGGAAAAAGAGAAAATGTTGAATGAATTGAATCAGGCTGGAGAACATCTGCTGGACCAAATGGGAAAAGGTAATGTTACAATATAATGGAAGGGAGAAGCACACACCTTTTCAATTAATTCCTCTTGTTAATATTTGAAATTTTTAAAAAGTGTGAATCCATCCGCATGTATGTTAATAGAAATTTGTAACAATGCTAGTTATAATTTAATGGTGATGAGATTCCAGGCTATAGGCTGTGTTCTAATGATCTGGTGTCCCGATGTGGCGTTTTCGGAGGTGAAAGTGATCTGTTTTGTAGCAAACCGTGCAGGAAAGGACTGAGCTCTTGTTTTGTTACAAAATTAATCTCTAACTGGATTTGCCAAGAAGTGTGCTACAGAGCAGACCACTTTCACTTCTGAAGTTGCCAGGCACAATTGCTGGCAAAATGTCAGGATACCATATAATTAGATCATAGCTTACTAATCCAAAAGTTCATCATCATCAGACTGACAATAGACATGAAAGCCTGCATTCTGTTTTAATTGACAGAAATGAAAATCACCCTGTCAATTTTGAGAAGGCAGGACTTAATGAGTGTAAATTCATTAAAGTTTTGTATCTTTAACTTTGTTTTGACCTTAGTGAAAGCGAATTTTAACAATAAACCGTTCAGTCTTGTTTTTCATCTCCCAGTACATATTATAATAGGTATTCAGTCACTATACTTAAGCCAGGTTTGGAATTTGTGGGCCCAGCCAGATATTGATAAATTACAATGTCCAGCAACTCCATGATCATGTCAGAGATGAGAGATTTTGAGAGTTTTAGTTTAGTAACATCTGGAATTCAGTTAAGGTTCCTCATTCTCAAGCTGTGCTCTTCTTTCAAGCTATTGAGGACAGTATATATATATATAAAATAGAAAGGAACCAGCCCTACAGCAGGGTGAAGTAATTGACACAAGTGAAGCTATGCTGTGGCAGGAGCAAACAGGATTTAGTTTTTAAATGAAGCAGGAATATTTTGATGGTCATGGCCAAGCAAAATTTAGGCAGCCACAAACTTTTATTAATACGTAAGAGCCATGGTGGTGCAGTGGTTAGAATGCAGTATTGCAGGCTTACTCTGCATTCCCACTGCTAGGAGTTCGATCCTGACCAGTTGATTTAGCCTTCCATCCTTCTGATGTTGGTAAAATGAGGACCCAGATGGTTGCGGGCAATATCCTGATTCTGTAAACAACTTAGAGAGGGCTGTAAAGCACTATAAAGCGGTATATAAGTCTAAGTGCTATTGCTATTCTGTATGGTTTTTAATTAAAACAGAAGATAAAACAAAAGCATCTGATCACAGATTAATACAGAGAATAGATGCCTAATAAGGGAAAGATTTGTGACTTTGTAATTTCATAATGCAAAGGTAATTTATGACAGTGTTTTTGTCTGCTTTTGTCACTTTTATTAAAAAGTGAGAGTTTAGTTAAATGAAGCCATGTGTCAAATGATAGTTGCAAAATATAAATATACTTTATAAAAAATACATTGATGTATCCCTTGCACGATGCTCAGCCATAATGTGTTCGTTTGCTATGCACTAGCTTATTGTGTCTTAGAATGATAAGTGAACCAATCCATCACAAAATATGGCTCATAATCCTAATTTAACATCTATATGTGGAATATAGCTGAAATAAAATCTTCCATGCATTGCAACTTGTACAATTGATTCTTTTTCTTTGTTCAGAAGGGCTTCCTACCGAAGAAACAGGCAATGCCCTTAAAAAGCTCTTGGCAGAATGGAAAGGGGCTACTTGCTATTTGGAAGAAGTAGCAAGAAAAGTGCAATATCAGGATGAAATCAATATTTACTTTAGTGAGTTGGATAAGCTTGATAAGTCTGTGAGCGAAAAAGAAGCATGGCTGCAAGACAATTCTGCAGTAGCTGAGCATCAACCATTAGCAGTGTTGCAGGAGTTGTGCCAGGTAAGCTTGAAAACCTTGATACACAAAATGCAATTATTTATGTTCTATACTGCTAGAGCAGGGGTACCCAACCCCTGGTCTATGGACTGGTACAGCAGCATGCCAGCAACCGGTCCACACAAACAAGCAAAGCTCCATCCACGGGATGCAGGCAGCACACAAAACCATGCTCCCTCTGGTCCGCAGAAAAACCTTTCTCCATGTAACTGGTCCCTGGCGCCCAAAAGGTTGGGGATCTCTGTGCTAGAGTACAGTCGTTGTCTCATATTTATGTGCCTGGACTTGAACATGATCTTGAAAAGGTCTGTTCAACCAGGTGAGGCAACATGGCTCTAAGAGGAAAAGCTTTTTCCATTGTGGTACTTCATCTGTGGAATGTTCTCCTTAGAGAGGTTCATCTGGAATTTATATTATGGTCTTCCTAGCACTTAGATGGACAATAGTATTGCTCTAGTCCAGGGGTAGGCAACCTTGGCTCTTTTATGACTCGTGGACTTCAACTCCCAGAATTCCTGAGCCAGCAAAGCTGGCTCAGGAACTCTGGGAGTTGAAGTCCGCAAGTCATAAAAGTGCCAAGGTTGCCTACCCCTGCTCTAGTCATTATAGGGATCTGTTTCAGACTTAATGAATGTTGTTTTGCTGTGATCTTATTTGGTTTTTTTTTATTATTATACTGTCAATGACAATGATGGTGATGATGATGACTGCTGTTTTTACCTAAACAGTTGTTGCTGTTTTATTATTTTATATTGTAATTTTAATCATATTTTTAAACTGCCAAAGAAATGAGGTTCTTGGAGTCTTTAAAAACGTTAACGTTAAAAATAACCAATGTTGGCACTCTGTCTTTCTTAGAAGGAACTCAAAAACCTCTTAAGTCTAACTCCTCAAATGGAACATTTGAAGATCAAATGCAAGGAGCTGACATCTCATCCTGCTGCTCCAGACTTTATTGAAGACAGCTTTTGCTCTTTGAACAGCCGCTTCAGTTCTGCCCAGCAGGAACTAGAACTTCTTCTGCAGAAGCTGAAGAGAGGTGTGCTTTGATTTCTGTAAAATCTCCCTTCCTCTCCTTTGTGTCGTCTTTAAGTTTCCGCTTTTGCTAGGAGCCAAAACCTCACAACTGGGGCTGCTTTCATCCTAGATTTTGGCAAACGCTATATAAATAACCACAAGTATAATCTTAAAAGGGAATAAATAGTTTGGCCTTCTTTTTGTAATGTCAGAAATATCCTCTTTGCCACCCTCCTCCCAGCATCATCTAGATTGGGGCTTTTCTGGAATGAACGGATTTATTAAGTAAATCATTCCAAAGGTTGGTGAAAAGAGAGAGTACGGAATGACATGTACTTGTCATTATCTATAGAATGCTCTTTTTTTCTTTTGGTTGTATTGATTGCAAGGTCAGATCACCCCTTTGGTGTGCTTGAAGGACTTAGAATGGGAGTAAAGATGACATTCTAAAGTGGCAAGGTTTACTTTTGTGTTCTGTGTTCTATTAAGCACTTTCCCTTATGTCAGACTGTCAGAGTTCAATCTGTCAAGGCATCTAGTATGTCTAAAATACAAGAACTCTCTTCACTTTTTTTGACCTTGAATAGAAAGTCTTAACTAGCATCATTTGTTATGATGGTTTAATGGATACCCTGCCAGACTAAATGTCTGCCTTGGGCAACTAAACAAAATCACACATATAAAATGTATTACTTAAATTCAGCAATAAACACAGAAAATGTCAGTGTCAATAAAACATTCTAGCAAAACCCAAATGTCAACATGCTTGAAGTTATTTCTGCTCACTTTTGCCTTAGGTTGAGGCAGTTTTTCTTTCATGCAGCTTAAGTATGCTTGCAATTCCCTATAGATTTTTTTAATAGTCAGTTAGATTCAGTTGCCTTTTTTTTTCCTGTGAAAAGAGGTTTACACTCACAGAATCTTCTTCTGTTTTGGAAGAGAACACTGATTCCGTCCATTGTATTGATTTTCATTTGTGATTTGTTCCTTTTTGTCATTATAGGTTGCTAATATTAACCTTAGTCACTATGCCAAACTAGCTCTCTAGTTAATACATACACCCCTAATTAAGTTATTATATTAGATGAATGAACATGTTTAAGGTTTGTAGAACAACAAAAGCAAATCAATTCACCTTCAAAATATATTTTAAATATTTTATATCAAATACATAAAAATGAAACTGATAATCTTCAGTGGATTCAATTTCCTATGTATTCTTCTAGGAAAATAGGACCCTGGATTGAGATAATTTTTATAAAAAATAAAATAAAAAGAATAATGCAGCAATTGCATTTGAATTACTAATTGTATATTGATTTTTATAAGTAGCAGAAGGTGGACATTATTATTATAATTTAATAATTCTAATACTTCAAATTTCCATATAATCAGTCAGAAACTACATGGAAACATAACTCTCCTGTACAAATTGTGACATGCATAGATAAATAATTGAAGCATCTTTTTTTTCAACAATTCTAAAGGAAAAGTGAAGAGGAAAAAAAAGTATGAAAAGTTTAAACCTGAATTCATTACTCAGGATACAGCCACTAATTTGCTCAGTTGCAATCAATAAAACAAACAGGTCAAGCAGACATAGCTGTGAGACTTGATTAACATTTATGTAAACAACCAATACTACAGATGTTTCTTTCAATGCTAGCTACAAAAAAGCACCAGGAAACAAGGAGTAATCAGTTGTGTAAGCCATTCTGGATCATAATCAATTCCTATCAATATTAGCACACATTCAGAACTGAATTAAACAGAGCAGCAGCACATCATAGAACAGCTATTTCAGGCTGTGTGAAAAGGCATAGAAGAGACACTTTGGCAAGATGCTTGCAACCCTTATTTGACATCAGCCATCCAAGTAATTGGTCTTTAAAATTTAGATCTCGTGTACACTTTTCTGCAGGGATTCACAATGCAGGTGAGAATTTTTTAAATAAATGATTCAATTGGTCAGATTTATGTCCACAGACAAAAATCCTTGGCTTCTAACCCAGCTTTTGTGTTGATAGATTCCAACCCTAATGCCATTCTAGCTGTCATATAACTACTCTGTATTTTGAATTATAAAGAAAAATCAATATTACATTGTGCATAAGCTTTCTCCTACCTGATTACTTCCAAATCAGAGCTCCTCTTGACTCTTGTTGGGAGGGGAATGTTGGCTGCAGATGATCAGTGTAAACAAACAGGTACCAGAGTCCTGTTATTGCACTGGCTTACAAGAGTTTTAGGGAGCAGTTTATATACATTTATCACAAGAAGCTTTTTTTAAAAAAAATGTTTTCACCTAGTAATTATCTTATCAATAATTGAAAAGCTCTGTATGTACTATGGACCAATATTTCTATGGGGTTATATTACATTTATATTGCATTGATATATTTGGTTCAGATTTTTATAAGCAAGTTGTTAACTTGAATTTAAATACTTACTTTAAATGCAGAACTTGAAAGTCAGCCCCCTAAGACTTATTTGGATTCTTTGAAAAAAATTAAGGATGAGTTGAACGAATTGGAAAGCAAAGTGCACTCCATCATGAATTCAGTGAATGACTTGAGTCAGGTTGAAAAAGCCTTGCAGCAAACTAAGGTATGTTTCTTCTTGGCACTTGGAACTTAAATTCTACTGTAAGTTCAGATGAAGCACAATATGGGAAGATTGGTTTCATGTCTTTATCACTTACGTTTTTAACTCTGGTGACTAATGTTGGGATGTGGGTGGAAAGTTTCATTGTCTTCTGCATTTTTTAAAAAAAAAGTTGGTGTGAAAACTGCTGTTTAGTGACAGACCGCTAACAGAGACATGGAATGCAGAAATGCAGTTAAAATGAAGGCTGCATTCAAAATATTTATTGAGAAAAACTTTTTTTTCTTAGAAACAATTTAGGAAGTATTAGCTGAATAGTTTAAGTAGCCAGAATAGTCATTTTTATGCAGAGCTGTCAATTTGCAAGTACAAGGAATACGGGGGTAGCTAAGATTAAGCAGATCACAACCCATTTAAGAAAAAGAACATGACAAATACACAAATGCTAATTTATGTGATGGTGCATCTAGTCATTTGGCAGATTCCAAGTGACTGGCAAAAATGAAGATTTGAGCAACATGATTCTAATCTATTTCTGATGCGATCAAAGCAAGGTATGAAATTGGTTCTCATATAAATCATATAAAAACATAGATATATTAATACAATGCCTTTACTAAATCAGTTGAACCAAAGATGCTTTTTTCAAAAGGCAACTGGACTTTGTTTTTCCTTGAAGACATTTCACTTCTCATCCAAGTTGCCTTTTGAAAAAAACAACAACTTTGGGACAATTATGACCTGGATGACTGAGAATCTTCAAAGAAAAATCAATTGAAGTTATTTTAAAGCACAAAGCTATCCCAGGTAAACTTGCTGAGATGGGTGATCCTGTGACAATACCCAAAACGTTCTGTGATAATGTTTCAGTGTTGGAAAAAGTGGTTGAGTCCTTTAATAGGCAGAATAGTTCAAGAAAAGCTTTTAAAGAGAATGTTGAAATGCATTATTAGCAAGTCAGGATTTATTTTATCTGGGCTTTTCCATCTTGGGTTAGAATTTTAGTTACAGTTAATTGATTGTCCCTTTGATGTCAGTGTCTAGAGTTGTGTGTAGAATTTAATTTTAGATTTTCAAATGTTGAAGATGGATGGAATGATATCTCTAACCATTTTTATTATAAACTGTGCCTAAAAATCAACACAAGATGTCAATACAAGAATCAGGGTTTTTTATTAGTTTACTATTTTTAAAAGTTTTTAATTATACAGTATAATTTTCACTTTGGCACTGAACAGCATCCTGGTTCGATACAAAGGTCAATTCAATTACTCCAATAAATCAGATTTTTTTATAGGATATAAAACATGAAGAACACCATTTTATGTAAATATAATTAATATTTTTATATTTATTCCCCGCAGATGGTTTGTGAAACCCTAGAAAATCAAAAAGGCACAGTCGATAAACTTGTTGCAGACACACAAGTATTGGAAAAGCATATTTCTGCTGAAAAATCAAAACTATACAAGAAAGAATTGAAATGTTTGCAAGGATATAGGGATAAATTAAAACTAAAGATTTCTGAAGATGTTCACTTATTGGAAGAAACTGTTTCCAGATTGAGAATATTTGAGGTAACTAGAAATATATTTTGCTTAAATAACTTTTTTGTAAGTATAATATTCCTCATTTTCAAATTAATTTAGGTTCTGCAGCAAGTTATAATGTCAATACCTGTTTATATGATTCCAAATGGTATGTCAATTATGTGAGTCAATCATTCTGCAGGCAGAACTGATTGCAGTGGAATGGAAAAAATAACAATATATCGCCTTGTTCAGTGAAAGTCAATCTAAAAACTAAATAAGCAGAAATAAATTATTTTGGTAGTTTCTTTAAGATTTCATATCTAGTTAGATACCTTTATTGTCATTTTTTACTGTGGGCACATTGGCACACATTAAAAATGAAATTTAGTTGCTTGCTCTCAAAATTGTACATATGCATAACACACCTTTAAACATGCTGTATACAACATATATATAAACTTTCACCCTTACATATAAATAACATATAAATATTAATCACTGTCCATCTTGAATACATAACGGAAGGAAGGAAGGAAGGAAGGAAGGAAGGAAGGAAACTTGAGAGTTCACAAGGTTAATACTGTATGGAACAAAACTGTGACTGAATCTGGATGTTCTGCTTCGGATACCATTAAGCCTCCTCCCAGAAGGTAACACGGAAAACAGGTTGTGAAGAGGATGTGTAGTGTCCCGGACAATCTTGCGGACTCTGCTCAAGAAACGCTTATATGCTATGTCCTGGATGAAAGGGAGGGAACTGCCAATAATCTTTTCTGCCATCCTCACCACTCTCTGCACTGCCTTCCTGTCTGAAGCAGTGATGCTTCCAAACCATAATGCTGTATGATAGGATGCTCTCAATCCTCCCTCTGTAGAAAGTGGTAAAGATAGGGGAAGAAAGATGTGCTTTTCTCATGCAATGTAGAAAATGCAGGTGCTGCTGTGCCCGCTTCACCAGTTTCTCAATGTTGAGTGATCAAGCCAGCCTACTTGTTAACTGCACACCCAGGAATTTGATTCTTGTAACCATCTCCACAGGTGAATCATTAATACATAGGGGAGTGTGGCTGTGCCTACCTTTTCTGAAATTGACAATGATCTCTTTGGTTTTTCCAATGTTTAAAACTAGGGTGTTTTTCTTTCAACCTCCTTGTGGTAAGCACCTTTATTGCCATCTTGAATAAGGCCCACTATTGTTGTATTGTCTGCATATTTCATAATATGGTTGGTGGCAAACCTAGCACAACAGTCATGGGTCAATAGGGTGAACAGCAGTGGACTTAGGACGCAGCCCTGAGGAGAATCTGTGCTCAAGAAAATGGTGTTGGAAATATTTGTTCCAGCTCGCACATATTGGGGACTGTTAGTAAGAAAATCAAGAATCCAGTTGCACAAAGGGGTGTTTAAGCTGAAAAGGCCCACTTGTCTACTAGATGCTGGGGAATGATTGTATTAAATGCCGAACTGAAGTCAACAAACAGCAAGGTTGACAAAATGTACATGAGTATTTCTTTCCTCTAAGTGCTCCAATCTCAGATGGAGAACAGAAGAAATAGCATCTTCTGTAGAGCGATTTGGTCGGTAAGCAAACTGAACTGGGTCAAATACTGGCGGGAGGCTATATACAATAATGTCCTTTATCAGCCTCTCAAAGCATTTCATAATGATGGATGTCAGTGCGACACTTTATGTTGTTTAGTGCCTGTAAATATAAATTTTAAACTTTAAACTTGAAGTTGTAAAAGTCTCCAGTGATTGTATGTATATACTTGGTTTCCAACTACTGTTTAGTTGAGAAAATGGGGCTTGATTTATTAGCTGACATTTAAAACATTTATTTCCTGCATGGTTGTTTTTTTTCCTCTCTGCTGTGGAACGACAATGAATATTAACTGTTTCTGTAAAGCAGGGGTCATGCACTCAGTGTAGTAACAGAATGGATAATAAACTAAAATAATAGTCCTAACAACTTTCTGGGTTAGTTGACACATTTGCAATTATGACAGCATATCATTGGTGCAATCACAGAATAGTTCCAGAGGTCCAGGGCTTCTAGATTCATACAGTACTGCTACATTCGGCACTCTTGATAATGATATAACATTAATCATTTGACCTCTGGATATATTTCCTAAGAAAGAACTAGTATGGGTGCACTATTTTTAGTTTTGAAGAATATCTGTGAAGGAGCTCAAAGGGCACTCAAAGGTATTATTTGAAATGAAGTTCAATGGGCTATTTGTGAGATCATATAATCTCATATAATCATATAAAACCAAGAATTTGTCTCTCATTAACTTGATGGGATGAAGATATTAGTGGATATGGAAATTCTGAAACATCAAAGGAAATAGTGGCCAGAAAGAATAAGAATAAACACCTTTGAGTTTGAAAATCAGAAAAAAACATTTTGGTGAGGACAATACATGGAAAGGGAAAATGGAAACTAATAGGAGAAACAGATGAAAGGCAAAATATTAGCTATTAGGATAAATTAGAGACCTAGAAGCAAATGATAGAATAACATTCTGACAATATTTAGAAGGGATGGGTGTTCAAGAACAGGAAAAAATGTAGGTGTCTTTAAATGCAATCTAATTTGAGTCAAAAGAGGAAAAAAAATAAGTGATTGATTTGGAGAGTCCAGAGCTAGTGGTCCATAAGGAATATTTAACCTTAAAATGATTCTTTTAATACCATATAACTATTAGTCAGTATATAAAGGCCTCCATTCTAAAAACTGAGCAAATATCTTTGGGACTATAGTATGTTCCATCAGTTTTGGACACACTTCATAAATGAATAAAAATTGGAGGTAGAGCTAAGAATATAAGAACTGGACAATCATTTATAGAATAGAATAGAATAGAATAGAATAGAATAGAATAGAATAGAGCTGGAAGGGACCTTAGAAGTCTTCTAGTCCAGCCTCCTGCTCAAGCAGGAGAACCTATACCATCTCAGACAGGTAATTGTCCAGTCTCTTGAAAATTTCCAGTGATGGAGCGCCCACGATTTCTGAGGGTAAGCTGTTCCACTGGTTGATTATCCTCACTGTCAGGAAGTTTCTCCTTAATTCCAGGTTGCTTCTCTCTTTGATCAGTTTCCAACCATTGTTTCTTGTCCTTCCCTCTGGTGCTTTGGTGAACAACCTGACCCCCTCTTCTTTGTGGCAGCCTCTCAGATACTGGAACACTGCTATCATGTCTCCCCTATTTCTTCTTTTCTTTAGACTAGCCAAACCCAGGTTCTGCAGCCATTCTTCATGTGTTTTGGTCTCCAGGACTTTGATCATCTTAGTTGCTCTTCTCTGAATTTTTTCCAAGCTCTCAACATCTTTTTTGTGATAGGGTGACCAAAATTGGCTGCAGTGAGAATTTAATTTTAAATGTGAATGTTGCTGAATCTAAAACGTATGGTTCTGGGGCATGGCTGAGGACTTAGTTGTTGTTTGGAATGAGAGAGTAACCATAGCCCTAGACCCGTGGTGACAAACCTATGGCATGCGTGCCACAGGTGGCACGCAGAGTCCTCTCTGTGGGCACGTGCGCCATCGCCCCAGTCCTAGGCTTTCAGCTGGGTTTTATAAAACCTTTTCACTTTAGGCCTTCACCACCGTGTGCAAAAAAAAAAAAGGTTCAATCAATCAGTCAATTTTAACTTCTTGCGTGGAAAAAAAAGATCTCGCAAAGTTGGAATTGATTGATTGAACTTTTTAGTTTCGCCCAGTCTGCCGTTACCTCCACAGCCACACCCATTCAGTGGCCACGCCCACCCAATGGGTCACACCCACTCAATGGGGCACACCTACCCGGCACCCAATGATACATAAGTGGGTTTTGGGTACTCGGTCTCTAAAAGGTTTGCCATCGCTGCCCTAGACAGAACTGTACCTGCATGGACCCTCTATGTCCTTGTATCCTGGAACCTGTACTGGTTTTCAGAGGAACTCCAGGAGATGAATTGGCATAAGAAACGCCCATAATCCTCCTGAAGTAAAACTGTTAAAGTGTGAGTGAGAGCCTTTCTTAAGGTTTACCTCATGACAATAAGAGCAGCAAAACATAGTAATTTTTTTCTTTATTACATTTATGGACAACTAGTTGGCAGCCATGTGTAAAGGGATCTGGTCCCTCCTGTTAAGGACGGTCCAGAAGAACATTGCAAGGTATTGTGAGCATTATTCTAGGCATCTGTCAAATAAAGTCCCTTGGAGTTTATTGGAATTTGACTCTGTGTAGGTCAGTGGGGTTGGATGAATCTGTTAGTCCTGATAAACTGGAGAAAGTTTTTGGAATTGTGAGCTCAGGGTTCTGCCACCCAATGTTCACTAGGTTACTAGTAGGTTCTTTAAGACAGGGGTACCCAATCCCCAGCCTGCGGACTGGTACTGGTCCATTGCCCTTTGGAAACCGGGCCATGCAAGGAGCAAGTGAGCGCATGAAGCTCCATTTGTGCAAGCGGGTGTGCACGTGAAATCATCCCCTGCCGCGGCTGGTCCATGGAGCTGAAAAGATTGAGGACCGCTGCGTTTTAAGGATTCAAGACAATGACTAAACAAAATTGTGGAGGAAAAAAAGTCCAGATGTTTAGTGAAGTAATATAAATTACAAAAGAAAGTATACCTAATGTCCTTTCTAAAGCAGACAGGAACTGTAAAAGCCTACATTTGACAGGGACAGGTTATATGCTGGATTGCTTGTCTCCATTTATTTTTACCCATCAGATCTAACAGGGTGAACATTTTCCAGTTTCTTCTATGAATGTGAGATATAAGAAATGTGCCTTCTCTCTCATGGAGCCTGTTGAGTTCCATGAGATCTGGATGGCCGTGACCATAAGGTTTCAAAGTCTTGGCTTTTCCCTGAAGCACTGGGGCCAGATGGTTAGGCGAAGCTAGTTGGCTTGGCTGTGCTTTGCTTGCTTACTATTTGATTTGCAACAGGAAGGAAATTTTTTAATCTTAGGCACATTGCATTTGATTTTTATTACAGTTGCTTTTAATCATTTTGGGCTGCTGCTGTTCTTGGCTTTTAACCTATTGTTCGCTGCCCAGAGTTGCATTTGTGAGATTGACAGCCATGTAAATCATGTAAATAAATAATCCTACATAAATGTAATAAAAAATGTATTTTTGGTCACATGTTTTTCTATTTTAGTGAAATATGACTCTGGTCCTTGCTCAGTTCCAAGATAGGAGTCTAAAGGGTTGTAAATCTACTATTCAGGCAACTCAGAAACTGTTTTTTTTCCTTGTTTAATGTAGTTACTACTCTATGTTGACTGTCACTTAAAAAGATGTCTGTCTAGTTGGATTTCTTGGTTAACAAATATTTACATGAACCTAGTAAAATGTTATGAGCAGATATTTGCATTTTTTAAATGTACATGGTAACTAATTATAGACAATTGAATATTTGGCCTTTGAGTAATACTGTACATCACATTACAGAACATTAACTTTCCTATATTATATTCAGGCTGATTCAAAAGTAGTTCAGAGGTGGCTGGATTCTGTGAAAGATTTCCTAATGAAAGACCAAATGAAGCAAACAGAATCTGAATGTCTTCAGAGACAGCTTGATCAATGCACGGTAAGATTTATCAATTTATTATACTATTGTATATTCACATTTTGTTTATTCCTTGGCTGTGTCTAAACATTGTGAAGAACACTGCATGAAGCTTCTGTTATCAAGGAGCTATTATTGCTATATTTTCAATTTGTGCATGCAGAGTAATAATGCAAATGCAAGATGGAAGAAGGAAGTCTCTTTTTATGTATGTCATCGGTGGAATCCAATAAGCTATCTGTAGCCTGGTTCTTAGCACACAAAGGATCTTGTGTGCTGATTCACAGATGCTACCCATAAACATCTTAATTGTTATGATAAATGTTTAGAAAAAGAATATAAACTTTTTAGCATTTTGTATTTTTATGCTCACTCTCTTTGGCACATCTAGTTACCATTCCTTTACTTTTGTTCTTAGAGGAAAATGTCCCTAAGGAAATCCCTCTCCTCCTTTAATTAAAAGCAATTTATTAGAGCTATTAGCTCTTTTTGGTCCTAGTCTCCACTTGCAAGCTAGCAATAATGATGTAGGTCTGATGAGTGGCTTGACAGATCTGGGCTTGCTTAATTTCAGTTGTACCAGCCTTTGAACCCTTGGAGGCTTGGATCATCTTTTTTTTTTTTTTACAAGCCAAATCAGATACGGGTAGAGAATGTGCTGAAAAAATGTCCCCCTTTGGGTTAATTATGAAATTTTACTGATGTTTCAGAAGCAAGACTTTTTAGCAGGGCAACCACTATGCATAATGGCAGATTCTCCACATTATAGATATAAACCCTTATGTGATGGTATACTTTCTCTGGGCAGTAAATAGGGTTATTCTGTTTTCCTAATGCATGGTTTTAGTTCACAAGTCTCCTGTATGGGGCTCATAGAAAGAGAAAAATGAATAGCGAATAGTGGCATCCATTCTCATCCATACTTTTTTTAGCTGCTGGAGTCTTCCATCATTTCCAAAACAGAACTGAATCAGCGTAGTTCTTGTCTTCATCTTGTTTGTCATAAAAATTGTTTCTTTTTAAATTTGTCAGTTAGGCCGTCATATCTGGAATCAAAAGTTGAAAATTTGTAGATACTCCCATATTCTATCAAAGTTAGACGTTTTATAATCAGCTGAAACTAGTATCATAGGATCTTTGGAAGCAGCTTTTAGGCAGATCCTAACTGTAGCATAGTTGTGTTGTTATCAGTGCTAGTGTGAATTAGACGTATTCATTTTGTAGCTGTGTCAGTCATCAAGAATATCATGAATCTTTTATGGGTTTGATCAGTGTTGAAGCTCTTGTTGTGTTCACAGGGAGATATATAAATCCATTGCTTATTTTACCTACTTTCTTGTATTTAATAGACACCTTTCTTATTATTCAGCTTTGGTATTAAGTGATAGGGGCTATTGACATAAATAAATAAATTAATATTAAAAAAGAAAAAAAACCGTTTCCTTTATTTGGATAAAAGCCCTTGGATATCTGAAGGACTGCTTTCTCGATTGCAGCCATTAACTTGGTTAACATAGTTATGCAGTTTAGTTCTACTATGTGTGCTGTATGAACACTGATATTTTTAAATGATAGTTTATCATTAAGCATGTTATGTGTATCCAGAATTTTTTTTTTTATCAGACCAAGGATTAAGTAACCATTTATCCCTTAAATCTCCTTCCAAGGATAAAAATCCTATCATTAATAAATGGTCATTTTGCCACCAAATTTTGGTGATCCAATATTACAGTGTAAAGTATGGTTAAGGAGTTGCTCACTCCTGGTTAATATGAGATAATGAAATGACATCCCCCCCCTCTCTCTGTATGTCCATATATTAAATTATTTTGCTAATTATTTTTTTCAAACATAATAGTAAGTCTTTGAAATCCATAAAAGTGTCTCAGAAATAAGCAACATCTCAAGTTGCATCTTTGGAAATAGATATTAAAATATGTTTTCTCATTTATGAACAGCTGTTTATTATTGAAATGGAAAAGATTGAGTTGTCTCTAAAAGAGATGAAGGAAATAGATTCTTCTTTAAGAAGCCAGCCTGCTAATGCTTGGGTGAAATCCAAACTGACAGACATCCAATCCCAGTGGGACAAACTAAGCAAGCAGGTTAGTTCTTGGTACTATTACTCTTGCATTTTCATATCTGTCATTGTACTCAAGTAGTAGCATTGTTACATGCATTGCAATCAATCATAATATCAAACATATTTATTTTATTTTATTTTATTTTCAGCATATAAAATCCCACTTTCATATTTACAAGTGCCTAAATGGAAATGCAAACTAAATAATTGCATTTATGTTACTCTGTGTTGTTTTTGTTAGTTGCGAAGTCGTGTCCAACCCATTGCGACCCCATGGACAACATTCCTCCAGGCCTTCCTGTCTTCTACCATCTTCTGGAGTCCATTTAAGTTCATGCCTACTGCTTCAGTGACTCCATCCAGCCACCTCATTCTCTGTCATCCCCTTCTTCTATTGCCCTCAATCTTTCCTAGCATTAGGCTCTTCTCCAGTGAGTCCTTCCTTCTCATTAGGTGGCCAAAGTATTTGAGTTTCAACTTCAGGATCTGGCCTTCTAAAGAGCAGTCAGGGTTGATCTCCTCTAGGACTGACTGGTTTGATCGCCTTGTAGTCCAGACTCGCAGGAGTCTTCTCCAGTACCATAGTTCAAAGACCTCAATTCTTTTGCGCTCAGCCTTTCTTATGGTCCAATTTTCACAGCCATACGTTGCAACTGGGAAAACCATGGCCTTGACTATATGTACTTTTGTTGGCAGGGTGATGTCTCTGCTTTTTAGTATGCTGTCTAGATTTGCCATAGCTCCTCAAGAGCAAGCGTCTTTTAATTTCTTACGTTACTCTATGAGAAACCATCAATTTTATAATAAACCAATTTAATTTTAAAACTATAGAACTAATATACAGTGCTATAATTTAATACAGCAAACATGGGATGAATTACAACTCCCAATATTCTTTATTGTTGGTTGACAGTTATGTAGTAATTCAGCTTGAGGGCTATAAGATTTGTTATAGTGTAAACTAGGCTCTGGGATTTTTTCAGTTCAAATTTTATTTTTAAGTCACCTTGCCAGATAGATGATGCTGTTTTAGGCTCATTTCCTTATCTGTTTGAAATTCTCATCAGAAAATATATCAAATGAGCCATTTTGTTTAACTGGTAGGGCAATTATTGCTATTTATACTGATAGGAAATTTTCAATATTTCCATATCATCTAAATGATAAGATTTTACCTACACTATAACTCTGTTTCCTTGCATCCCTCATGATCTTTAGAAAACATAAAAAATGACATCATTCTTTCAGGTTAGTCAGTCTATATTCTGGACTGGACTTGTGAATATACTCGGAAGAAAATATTTTAAAAGACAGTTCATTAAGTGGAACTGAGAGTGTTAATAATGGGTTAGTCTTGGTGAAATCTAAATACTTGCAACAAGAATCTGTTGCTAGTTCATTGCTGCTAACATATTTTATTAACACTCACGATAACTATGATCACCACCACCACCACCACCACATCACTATCATCATGGGTTACTTCATTGTTAATGTGAACAGTAAATAATTAAAAATTAAGCAAAACAGTATTAGTTACGTTTGCCAGTTCTTGTAACTATAGAATATTATTTCCTAGATTTCCTGTTGAAGAAAATGCTGAATGTTACTATCTCAAAATAACTTTCACCATTCTGTTGATCATGTGTTTTTCTTTCATCAGTTGTACAGCAGTCTTTAAATAATACGAGTTTAAATAATGCTGTCCACCTTACGTTGTTTTGCTTGAATTGCTAGATCATTAGCCATAAAAATCAATTATCAGAAAATCAAGAAAAAGCTGTCAATCTCAAAAAGGATGTGGCAGAAATGCAAGAATGGATGGCTCAGGCTGAAGAGGAATATTTGGAGAAGGATTTTGAATATAAGAATCCAGATGAGCTAGAGAATGCAGTGGAAGAAATGAAGGTCAGGAATACTTGAAAAGCATTTTAAAAATGATATAGTCACTAAACTTGGGTGTGTAATAGTTGTTGTTGTTATTGTTGTTCTTATTATTGATCATTGCACAGTCAGCCAGATGTTCAGACTGGATTTGGCATTTTGTCTACCTATCGAGTCCTTACCCAGGACCTGGGATAGGCAGATGTGGATGTTTGATGGTATTACAGATATTGTCGCAGGATGGAAGCAGTTCCTAGTAAGGCCGCCTTCTGCAATTAACTAATGGCAAATTTGTCAATGCCGATGGTGTTCAAGTGGTGCTCCAGTTGTTTTGGGATTGCACACAAGGCGCCTATTACTATTGGTACTACCCTTGCTTGCCTTTGCCACATTCTTTCTATTTCTATTTCTATTTCTATTTCTATTACTGCTACTCCTGCTGCTGCTACTACTACTACTACTACTACTACTAGTACTACTATTATTATTATTATTATTATTATTATTATTATTATTATTATTATTATTATTATTATTATTATTATTATTATTATTATTATTACATCAGAATGTCCTTGTCCGGAAAGTTTTTCAGAACAGAGTAATTTGTTTTTTAAGAGCTTAAAGCTGACTATCCTTCCTACGTACTCTTGAAAATGAATTAAATTAGGACTAGGATTATTTACATATTTATAAGACCATATTTTGTCCAGTGTCACGACTAGAGCTTGCACTGTGTGCAAGTGAAAGTGTATGCAAACGTACAAAAAACTGTTGCATATCTTAAAATTCTATATGACTTAAGGTGCTGCTGATAGCTTGAATATGTTGGTTCGTTTGCATACTGAATTTTTTTCTCTCCTTTGAGCCCAGATTGCTGCATAGCCCTGCCATGTACTCTGCAATTTGATCAGATGGCTTCAGGCTACTTCTGTTTGATCAGCAAATACTGCTTGGAGTAGAAATTCCTGATCTTGCTACATAGTGAGATTAGAGGAGGCTGGAGTTTGGAATGACATTTGCTTTAATTTTACAGTGAACGTAGAATTAGTGGATTTAATAAGATAACTTAGCATTTCAAAACTATGACAGGGATGAAGAGCCCATTTTGCTTATTCTTGAAATTTCATGCTGCTGTCTCTTAGCTTAATTTTATATATGCTTGTATCCTAATCTAATTCATATCATATGTCTAATTGTAATTTAATAGTGACTAATCAGCTGTCTGAGAAAACACAATGGATGCACAGTTGGGAGCAGCAAATTACAAAATATTGTAATATTTACATACATTTGAAAAGATTACAGCTATTATGAATGCAAAGAGTCTTTTTTTATTTCTTGTTCATTCTACACATTACAAGTGTAGTATATTGTAAAGAACTGACATTGTCAATAGCCTGGCTATCAAACACTAAATCACTCTGAAGGATTTTTTTTAACATTAGAAAATGTGGCAGCTCATTTAATAAAGCTTTTTGAATTGAATGACAGGATTGCCACTGGCATTTTCTGTTAAATTAGAAAGGGTTTTGTAATTGAATGCTCTGTAGCCCTTGCCAGTCTTGTGCTCCTCAGTTATGTTGACTTTGCAACTGCCAGAATTGCTAGTCAGCGTGACCTTGGTGTTTGAAAAATTATTTATTTCGAAACAGTCACATTCAATAGAATGATAAACTTGGCACTTTTAAAAATATTTTTTCACGTTTAGAAATGTAGTACTCTTGATTGTAGTGAGATTATTAAAAATTATACCAGAAAAATGTACTAGTTAATGTTGGCCATATAAATTGGGAATTTTGAGACAATGGTCTTTATGCATAGGAAGTATTTATCTTGGGATGAGTTGACTTCATACAACCAGATTTATATAAATCAGTTTGCAACAGAATATCTGTGGAGATGAAATCCATTTGTATGTCAAGGAAGGCCAAAATGATGGTGGGCAACTAGCGTAATAAGTGATAAACAGGCAGTATTTATTACAGAGTCCAGTGGAGTTGGGTGGCTTATAAATTCAGATCAATCAAATATGATAGAACTTCAAGTGAGGTGTCTTGGGATCCATGTATATATCAAATACAATGTAACAATTCATTTCAATATTTTAAGTATTAGTTCAGATTCCATTGTTAACACAGTGATTGCAATTTAGTTTGGTCATTATTTGCTTCCTCTGGGCAGAGAGCAAAGGAAGATGTGCTGCAGAAAGAAGTGCGGGTGAAAATTCTGAAAGACAGCATCAAAATGCTAGCTGCTAAACTGCCATCTGGCGGTCAGGACTTAACAACAGAGCTCAACCTTGTATTGGAGAATTACCAGCTACTGTGCAACAGGATCAGAGGGAAATGCCACACTTTGGAAGTATGATCTATAACTGATTGTTCCTTCCCTTATTTATTTATTTATTTATTTATAATTTAATTTGTATCCCGCCCTTCTCCTCACCGGACTCAGGGCGGCTAACAGCCTTATAAAACAACAGTACAATAAATATCCATATTAAAACCAAATTAAAAGAAAATATTCGTAAAGGCCAATCGTTAAAATTACCCTTAAAATTACCCTTAAAAACCCCACTAAAATTCCCTA